CAGGTAGCGGCCGGGCGGGCGGCGGCAGCAAGAGCAGGGGTCCGGCGGGGGAAGCGCGCGGAGGCGGCCCCGGGCGGGAAGGCGGCCCCGGGCGGGAAGGCGGCCCCGGGGCAGCGGCGAGGGGGGCCCGGCGGCTCCTCACCCGCTCACGGCTCCCTCTCCTTTCCCGCTCCCTCCCCGCAGTGGCCGTCGCGCTGGTGCTGACCTCGCAGGCAGCTTTCGTGGAGGACCTGGATGAGTCGTAAGTAATGGCAGTGCCCGCTTGGCCGGGAGGTGCCCGGGGAAAGGGAGCAGCCCAGGGCAAACGCTGCCCCAGGCCGAGTCCTCAGCCCCAGGCCGAGTCCTCAGCCCCAGGCAGAAGAAGCTTCTCTGGCCAGAAGTGCTAGGAAGACAACAAAAGTGCGGCCTGTGTTAGGGAGTAGCTGTCATGAGCTGCCTTCTGCCTTTGCTTTACCAGTGGAGTGGATATGGGCTCGCTGTCTGCACAAAACGTGACTTTTCAAAGATAAAGTGGTTTTTTTTTTCCTTTTTTTTTTTTTTTTCAGTCAGAGCAGCCAAGCTGATACAAGGCAACTGCTGGCACAAAGCAGCATGTTTATGAGAATTGAAATAGAAGGTATAGAAAATATTTGCATGGAATGTGAGGAGAAGACATTCAATTGCCATTTCATGATAAATTTAAGCAGTTTTTATAAGGGATCAGTCCGTGATAAAATGCTTCACAGAGCAGAAGAGTCAGAAAAGAAAATGCTTTTTTGTCTAGCATTCTGCTTCCTCAGCAAGAGCAGACAATGCTGGGATCAATTTGAGGGACAATGAAAGCTCAAGGGATGGAACATCCTGGTAGGGATACTGGAGGGAGAAACCTCAGCATCTGTGACTTGTGTTTAAGCTGCTGTGCATGAGGAGCTGAAGCACAGAACTGCTTGGTATTGGCTTTTAAAAGGTTATTTTTGATCCACAGCTCATTTTCAAAGACTGAATTTGAAAAGGCCAAATGAATAAAACAATGCTTCTGCATCACAGTTGGAAGTTTAAATGAAATTGTTGCTTGGAATGACAAAGCATAACTCTGTAGTCATGGAGCTTTTGTGAAATAGCCGCTAGCTGTAGAAAGCCTGTTGTAGAAGACTTTGCTTTTTAGCCACCAAACTGTAGAGGTGTTTCTGTTTGCATATTTGGAAATTGAAGGTTCCTGTACCAAGCTTACAAGATAGGAGAAAATAAGTAGCTGAGAAGAAGCAACACAGGTGAGGTGAGAGGTGCACGACATTGCCCACTTGGCCATAGAAAAGAGGCAGAAACAGGCAGAGTGAGAACTATGTTTGTATTGACCTATGCAGATATAGCTGCCTGCAAGATGAAATCTGTGCTTGTCCTGCCCTCTTTGGTCAACTGTGACAATATGCTAACCAAYCAGAAGAGGAATCTGACTTAAAAATAAAATTATTTGTCTGGAGAAGGTGCTATAGTGATTCAGTACAGTATTAAAGAAGCTTCAAAGAGCTAGGGGAAGCAGCACTTGGGTTGGATGAGGTTTCCTTTCCATGGAGTTGTGACCAAAGTTTCTAGTTGTGCTTTGGGCTGGTTCCTTTTAACAGTTAAGGATGAATTGGGTACACAGATGAAGCTGAGATTAGGGCAACGTTTGGCCACATAATGATGCATGTTGGGATGTGTCTCTTGACACAAGCGGTTTTGATTCAAGGTTATATAATCTCTCTCATCTTTCCACCACTGTGACTGTCCTTGTGCCCTTGCTGGCAGAGAGGGTTGCAGGGGGAAGTTAAGAGGAAACTTTGAGATCTTCACTTTTAGAAACAGATGTATAGCCCTAGAAAGAAGCACCTTTGGGAAATGTTGAAATACGCCTTTATACGGAGATTTCAGTTTTACTTCAATGGTTTAGCCCATTCGGTATTGTCTAATAATTTTATCACATTTTCGTTATCAAACTACAGGTTCTGCAGCTGTAGAAGTGCTGATATAAATCAGTAAAGCTTTAATGAGAAAAAAAAAATGAATTGACAGATTGTAACTTCATAATAACTATATAGCACTTCTCTTTTTGGACTGAGTTGAGACAGTTGTGCTTTTTTCAAACTTCTGTTTTTTTTTTTTTTCCCCCTTACTGTTTGATAGTTTTCTAAACAAGATTTTAGTTTGCCCTTCAGTACTTTATTTTTTTTTTTTAAAGTTACCTAGTAATACTGGGGGAGAGGTAATAGAGTGTTTCCTTGTAAATTCTTGTTTTATGAACCAAAGCTGATATTCTAAATTCAAATACAACCCATTTGTAGTTATAGATTTGATAGCTGTTTTTTACCTGTTGCATCATAGCCAATTATTTTACTTTGTAATTGGGAATGAGCTGGAGCTTTATTAGAATTCACAAGAGATGATAGACTCTAGCTAGCTAGTTCTTGCACTTCTGCAGCACTGTGAGGATAAATCTTTTAGTGAGGTTGCAAACCAAGCAATTGRTTGCCTTTAAAATGCTGTTTTCTAATAGATGTCTTGTGTTGTCACTGTAAGTGCTTTTGCAAACTCAGCATGCTATCAAAAAGACAAAAGAAATGGGGAATGGGAATTGAATTTATCACTGATTTGCGGTGGTTTTTAGTTGCAGACACTTGGTTTTGTAATTAGATTATTGTATTAGAGTTTTTTTTTTTTTTTCTCCTAGATAGTGGACTGTCTCAGTTTTAGCATCATTTCAGGTCTGTTAAATACCATTATGAAGCTGTTCAATTTTAAATTGTAATAAATGCTCTGTAATTCTGCTGACTGTCTGTGAGCCATTTAGAGTCATGATGCATATTGGGAAATGATGAGTCAGGTTATCACTTCTATTAGTTGCACCTCAACTCTTTAATGTCAACCACATGCTTACTATATAAGTAATTATATGTAATCCTCTCTTACCATTAAAGACTTGGCAAACCATTTCCGAAAGTGTCACAATAAGAATTTTATGCAATATATTTTATGTTATGTGACATCAATACTATTTCTAGTCACTTTTATTAAAATTTATATTTTTTTCAGAAAGAAACAAACCTTCCACAAAAACTATGTTTAATTTAATTCACAGTTTACAATCAGTTAAGTAATGAAATGATATGAATGATTTTGTGGTACTTAATTCAGTGTGTAACCAGCATGCCAAGAAGTATCAAGGAATTTTCATATTTCACTCTTTGTATATTTTTATGTTGGAATGTAGCAGTTTTAGCATCTACCATCAGATTTGCAGTTAGTGGAGCTAGCCAGTTCATTAGGTTGCCATTGCCTTAACATTAATATAAGTCAATAGTACTAGTCTATTTCTGTTTTTTATTAATGTTAAACACTTTCTTTCCAGTAGTGTTATTTTTATAAAAAGCATAAACTGAAACACCTGTAGGAGTTAAATCCTGAAGGAAGTTGAATTAAAATTAGTGTTACTAAAATTAGTGTTAGCACATGTTCATTGAAGAGCTRAGCCTAACAGGAGTGTAAATCTATGCCCTAGGAGATTGTATTAGTTGAACTATAAAAATGCAAAGGTTTTCTGAGTGATGCTCAGCATGAAGTATTTATTAAACTACAGTAACTTGATCAATTCTATGCATTTGTGATGTGATTTTTTTTTTCTTTTTTTTTTCCATTGGTAGATGTTTATAGATAACAAATACCGTACAGCTGCACGTGTAGTGTGATGAGTAGAGTCAATCTAAGTAATTAAAATYAGTATTTTTTCTTTCTTTTCTCCCTATGTCATTTCTCCCCCTCCCTTCTCTCCCTCTTCCTCACCCCCAAAAAGAATCAAAACAGAGAAATCTATTAGCTTTAATTTTATACCAACATAGTTGGAGAAGTAGTTTACTTTTTCACATACAAACATAATTTATGTATGTTCGGATATATCATATTTTTTTTTCCCCTCTTAGGTTTAAAGAAAACCGTAAAGATGATATTTGGCTTGTAGATGTGAGTATGTGAGAAAAATGTGAAGATTTCTACTTGATTTCAAACCAACCTAGAAACTGAAATACAAAATGTACAATATGCTGTGCTGTAGTAAGACTGCTTGATCGTTTGGAAAATCTCTTGTGCGTGGTGCAGAAAAAATTACATGATATTAGTTCTGTTGACAATATGGATAAGCAATCTGTTTTGTTCAGGATGAAGCAGGAATCAGATTTAGTACTGAATGCAGGCTGCAGCCTGTTTTAAATCTCCTAGAAAGAAGCAGATTATCTAACACTTAAATTGAGGGGGTGATAACCTGCATTCAGATACATCCATGTTCTCTAGTTATATCTACCAACTAGTGTGCTTTTATATATTATTAGATATTGAAGTGCTAAGTGTTTAGCCTTTTTCTAACAGTTGGAGAGATTCAGTGCTGTTTAGTACAGAGGCAAAGCATTATTAAAATGATCAAGCATGTTCAAACATGCAAAAAATTCTTTATAGCACTCTGAAATCTGAGCTGTAGTGCCCAAGTGGTATAACTAAGACTTGTGGGGCATTTTTATTATTTTTTTTTTCTTTTAGTGAGGAAGTTGACTTCTTCTGTTTCAGAATTAATCATTAATGTATAGGAAGACAGTATATAATTTTGCCAGGTGATACCTTTCTTGTTATTGTTGCTTAATGTGCCCATTCATGGCTAGAAAGATGGGATGGGATGGAATGGGATGGGATGGAATGGAATGGAGTGATGCTCCCACCTGTTCTGGTTTCAGAAAAGATGGGGTCAGCGGGATTTCACAGTGTGSCTGTATGAGAATAATGTCTGAAACTGAAGTCCAGAGAGCAACTTGGAGAWATACTTGTGTATTTCCCTTCCTTTCAAAGAACATTGTATTCCTGTCGGGAAAAAAAAGAAAGTCCATATTCCTGAATAAGGATCTCTTCCTAAGATGGATTTTATGTGGTCTTCTACTTTCCCATAACAGAGAGTGAAATTCCAAAGAGATTTATTTTAATGTTGCTGAATGGTCCACTTTTAAATAGGTATTGTATTAGTACAGCAATTAAATGAGTTAATTGTAGACTTCTGTTTTCAGCATTGAAAAAACAATGTCAAATCAAAAAAGCGTGATTTGTCACTCCATCTTTCTAGCAACATGGATTTTTATTAAATTTTGTAGTATAAGGAAATGCACACATGGAAAATACCTCTTGCTAATGTGTTTGAGAGTTCAAATTAACTTCTCTCTCTCTCTCTCTCTCTCTCTCTCTCTCTCTCTCTCTCTCTCTCTCTCTCTCTCTCTCTCTCTCTCTCTCTGCTACTCAGTTTTATGCCCCGTGGTGTGGCCACTGCAAGAAATTGGAGCCCGTATGGAATGAAGTTGGTATAGAAATGAAAAGCATGGGTTCCCCAGTAAAAGTTGGGAAGATGGATGCAACTTCCTTCTCTAGTAAGTGTGGTTTGATTGAGGAAATTTCATGATATCCTCTTTTTTAAAACTTTTTTGTAATAGTTATTCTTCCGTTCTTTATCATATAAACAAATGCACTTGAACAATCTCTTGAGGTTTATGTTCCCTTTARAAGTTACAACATGCAATAGCGTGGATTTTTATTGTATTTGTTCCTCCTGTTTGTCAGAATTCTTTCTGACAAGTGGAAGATAAAAGCTTTTCAGAGATACAAATTTTGATAGGCTTTTTAGATTTTTTTTATATAATAGCACTTCTTTGCTATTGACACTAGCACTTGACAGCATCTAATTTAATTCCATTTTAGAGTCTTCTTATTAATCTTAGCAAAAATATRAATACTTGTCTATTACAGACTAGTTGCCTGAAAAGAATAAGATGTTACACCAAAAGCCTACTGAAATCACTAAATTCATTACTTCAGTGTTAAACCAGTTTCCTATAAACCAGGACTCGKCTATCTTAACCCTTTGATGTTGATTTTTGATAATGTCCTATTCATATTTCTTGACCTTCAAGGATGTTTGAAGAAAAAAGCTCYGCATTTGAAAAAGTGGTTTGTGTAGACTGAAGTTATATGCCTAATGCTGTTGTTTTAGTACTAATGTGCTTGYTTACAGTTGTTTTGCTTTAATGTGTCTTCAACCAGGAGGATGTTGAAAAGGGTGAGGCATAGGGAGCAGTGGTCTCCGGGTGAGCTTCTTTAGTCCATGCATGATGCTAAAATTCATTATTTTTTCATTAATTTATGTGGCTGGAGTAGTAAACTGTCTTTAAACCATGGTCTTGAAGAAYGAGTTGGTTCACTTTGCCACTAATCACTGTCGTTCAGGTATCGCATCCGAGTTTGGAGTGCGAGGCTATCCAACAATTAAGCTGTAAGTTGATGCTTCCTGTTGAATCGCTTTCTTTCCTACCTGTGATCTCATGTGAATTAAAAAAATATGCACATATAGCATAGTTGATGTCAGTTAAGGTTTTATTTTCCTTTGGAATCCTTTCCAATACGTATGTGTGTATACATATATACCCATGCACAGAAACATATTTATACCATTAAAAGGAATTTCTTATGCAAATTGATTTGATTAAGAACTTAAGAACAGTTCAGGCACTAAATACATGCCTGAGTCTTTGAGGTGAGTTTTAAGATTTGCTTGTTCTTCTACTTTCTGTTCTCTTTCCTGTTCCTGAAAGTCTTTTATAAAGGGTGCTAATGATTGCTGCATAGTAAAAATGATGAGAGCAGGTGTTTGGCAAGGGATGTTTATATCTTCTTTTCTTAAAACTTATAGAAAAGCACAAGTAGATAGAAGTTTTGTATGTATTTGGATATTTTGTGCATAGTACAGTCTAAGATCACATTAAGTCCTAGTAATTTTGATCACTTCTTACTATGAATTTATCAGTTTGTCTGCAGCTTATTGTTTTAGCAAATGATTTCAGAATATATAATAGATTTTTTTCCAGTTAAGTTTCTCAAAATACGGTAAAGATTTTTAGCTTTCTAATCTTTAGRGAGGAAGCACTCCCCTGGCATATAAAGGCATATAACTATTTTTTTAAGAATGCTTTCATCATGTAGTTTTCCTAAAGCTTTCAAGGATTTCAAGGCAGCTTGTTGAAATTTACCTATTTACAAGACATTTAATCTTTTCTATTTTACAGTATAAGTTTCTCCTGTCAGTCAAGTACAGTAAACAAAACTTTGTGAAATCCTAATTAAGTACATAAATTCAGGAGGTTTTGTAGATCACTTGATATCTTTCAATTATGAAAAGCCGTTAAAGTAGTTTCTCTTTGTTTTTTGTAGGGACTAATCTTTTTGAAATGCTGAAAGCTTGGGTGGTTTTTAAAATATATTTTTAATATAGTCCTAAGCAAGAAGAAAGCTTATTGTTTTCAGAGTAAATGACAGCTATGTAGTAGAAAAAAACAGCAGTTACTTATTAATAATTAAGAATATTAATTATTTTCAGAAGAAAGTAAGTTATATATTGTATAAATAATTCTACAATTGCATTTTATTGCATTGCAGAGTTTTATGTTTGGCAAACCAAAGATTACTTCATTTGACTGATCACTTGACAAATGAGCTTGTTTATTATTTGTAACAGATGACTGTAATACTGGTGTGGAGGTTTTGTAGTTCTACATGTGCAGATATGTTTTTAGTTTGTTGTACTTTTAAAATCTTAGTAGTGTTGTATTTGTGATGTTTCTTAATATATTTTTTCCCCTCTTTTTTCTTTTTTTCCCYCCTTGTCTTTTTATCCCTGCTGTCCAGGTTAAAAGGTGACTTGGCATACAATTATAGAGGACCTAGAACCAAAGATGATATAATTGAATTTGCTAATAGAGTAGCAGGGTAAGTATAGATTTACATGAGAATAGTTCTGGTATCTTAAATTGTAGGATTTTTCTCTAAAGGATGGAATTTAGCTGAAGGGCCGCAAGTGGGACATGAAAGAAGCTACATATTAGTCACTCAGTTTCGTGTGCAATTGTTAAATTCTTTATCATACCCTCAAAACTTGAAAGATGTTGATGTCCTTTTACAAGATTCTTTACACAAGGAGATTGTACAAGATTGTTCACAGCATTTTCCGTRAACTTCTTTTTCTTTACGGACAGTGGCCCATGGCCTCAAAATTTATAGATAATAATCTTTGAGAAGGAAAGAAGTTCATCATTCTTTTTTCTCATTCTTAAGAAGCTTTCATATAAATGTATAAGATTAATTATAGTTCCTARCAGTATAATAACTATATAGTCCAGGACTGTCACTGTTCTCTAATAAGTTACCAAAAATCTGTGAGAATATTTATTTCAGTGACCGCATTTCCTAAGTGCTGTGCTCACATCCAAAATTTATCTTTCAAGTGACCATGCAGTGCATAAATGACTTGGAWATTTATTAGTTACTGTGGCATTTTATACTAAGATACAGAATAATTTTATTTAAGAGTGCTATTGAGGAAGAATTCCTGAATTTATTTTTGATGGGGTGTTTTTTGTTTGCTTGTTTGTTTTCCTCCTCCCTTCCTGAAAAACTTAAGCTTGAATACTTTAAAAGTTAAATAAGAATTTACAAAACAAGCTTTACTTTGCTTTGGGAAATTTTGCAAGAAACCTGTATGAACTCTTCTTGGGCATCTTAACTTGTTTCMATTTTTGCAGCTTGTAGAAATTGAGATTTTTTTTTCTCTTTCTTTCYCTTTTCTTCTTTCCTGCCCTCCCAGACCTCTAATCAGGCCACTTCCTAGCCAGCATATGTTCGAGCATGTGCAAAAGAGGCATCGTGTACTTTTCGTGTATGTTGGTGGGGAATCTCCTTTAAAGGTTTGAAACTTGATTAAATAAAGTTATTTCTTTTGGCTCTTCACAGATGTAGCTTAAAACACATCTTCTAAAACAGGTGAGAAAGTAGTAGTTGAAAGACTGAAGAAAGTGCATATGTTGTAATTTTTGTCTTTATAATTACTGAAGTGCTTCTACAGTCTTTCGTTATAATCATATTTTCTAATTGCTCTTTCAAAATAAAGCTTCCTTTTACTTGTATGAAAAAAAATGAGAGGAAAAAAATCCTTTGATTTCTACTAAAAGTTGAGAAGTTTACAAAAATGTTCGTATCTTTACAGGAAAAATACATAGAAGTTGCCTCAGAACTAATTGTTTATACATACTTTTTTTCTGCCTCAGAAGATGTACTGCCTGAGGTAAGATCTTTCAGTTCTTATTCTTTCCATATAATTCTACAAATCTCTTTCCAAATTGGATGTCTGTCTTTGAAAAGAATATTGGCAAATCCTGAACTGATTAAATTGAAGTGTTTGATATTCATGTCTGCAGTGGGTAAAAAATACAAACCCAGTTTAGTTTCTAGTATAGTCTTTTACTGTCTACTTTGATGAAACTTTTCATAATTGTTAGTATGCAAATCTCTTGTCCTGTTAAGTAGTCGCTAGTCATTGCGCTTCTTGCAGTGCACATTTGACATGCATGTAAATAGTTCATCTGTTAGTACTTTGGCCAGATGTTTCGCTAAGCAGATTAATAAAGCAATATAAACTTAAATAGAAGATATGCAGGATTTTTCCACTGATTTTCCTGATTTGTAAGATAAATTTGCTCTTTGTACCTTGTGCAAAGCAGCTGATCAAAACAGCAATCTGCTCTGGGATCAAATAACCCAGTCTGCTAACTGCAGAATCCCACACTCACTCTTTTGGGGATTCTGTAACAAGGAAACCACTCACAGTAAATCCCAAGGGTGAAGAAAGTTGCCAGTGCTATTTTTAAGCCTAAACCTAATTGCCTAAGTGCTGAAGTAAAATAAAGAGGCTTTCTAATTCTTGTTATCTCCAAATGGGAGATAACCTGAAATGAGTTTTAAAGTGGGACATGACTTTGAAAATGCTCATACAGGATTAATGGAGCGAGAGTTCACATAATTTTATTTGTCATTCACTAGCATTTTTTTCTTGATGCAGCCAAACCYTTCACAGTGATGCCCAATGATAGAATAACAGGTGCAAATTGACAGGCAGTTTCACCTGATATATAAGGAAAAAATCATTATTGTGAGGATAACAGAGCACGCCATCTGTATAGAGGCCTGGACCATGTGCTCTAGATGTCCCTGTTGAGCAGGGGGTTGAACCAGTTGAACAGAGGATCTCAAGAGGTCCTTTCCAACCTCAACCATTCTATGATTCTTTTTTTTTTTTTTCTACATCCTGCTAAATAGAACTGGCTTCACTATAAGCAATGTATTTTTAGATTTCCAAAAGCCTTGTGTCAAGAACTATTTTAATTTGAATACTCCTGTTTTTACTTTATCCTCAGTTGAGCAAGAAAAATAATATTCACTTGCATATTGGAAAGTGTAAAAGCCTGGAGATGTTCCAGATTGGAAATTCTGTGATCATGCTGATAAAAAAATRAGCAGATATGTTTCGTGGGAAAAACCTAATTTTGCTATAACTCATATTGGTGGTTCCTAATATTCTATGTAAAACAGCAGAAATATTGTAACACTGACTGGTAGTTGTACAGTGCAACCTTCATTCCAAGATCTGTTTTGCCACCACACATACTCTTGTCTGAAGTTTAGGCGTCTTTTGCAAATTATGCTCTGCCTAGATTGATCTGCCTCTTAAGAAACTGAACTGCTCTTAGAAGAAATACAAGAATGAAAGCATCATCCAGAATTACCTATTTGTTCCTCATTAGTATGAACTATTAAATGTGAAAACAGTAGGTTCACAWTGTATCTTTGAGAAGGAGAATTGCAGGAGGCTCGTCAATTAGAAGAATAAAATATTGTTCCTATTTTTTTCCCACATGTCAATAAATTAGAAAGTTCAGCCAACAGTGTCAACAAGACTGAGCTTACTACATGTTCTTTTATTAATAAATCACATAGTCTGTTGTTGTAACCAAGAGTGTTAGCAAGCAGTAGGGAGTAGATACCAGAATTCAAAAATGGCAGGATTGCTTTTTTTCCTTTTAAGTGATGTACTGAACGTGAGATGACTGTCTTTAAATGCAAAGGAAGAGTGTCAACATGCAGTATATTTTTAAAGAAAAAGTATGTTGATGACCAAATAAATCCTAAATACTGTGTTTAGGATGCTAATTCATACAAGTTCTGTTTACCTAAATTAGGGCTGTTTGCCTCCTTATGCAGAATGAATGTCTTTATGTTTTCATCAGCCTGAACCGCAGGAAATGGCAGAGACTTACAGTGGGGTATATAACCCCATTTTACCTCTTATCAATATTACCTCTTGTTCCACAACAACAGTGAATGTTAGTTTAGAAGAAATAACTTCTATTACTAAATAGAAGTTACTGTTATTAATATTTAGTAATAAGATTACTAAATAAAAAGCATTTAGTAGAAATAACTGCATTACAATTATGATGTTTATTATTGTACGTTATTGTACCTGTATTACAGGTAGATTAACAACAGCATAGAGTGGGAGTAGAGAATAGTGAAAAACTGAAACCTTTAAATTGTCATGTCTTTCTTCTGTCTAGAATTCATGACAGGCTATGTTAAACCGTCCTTCACACGTACTTCAAGATATATCCCTGTAGACTAGCTGTGCACACTTCAGGATTTCTTTGTTTGTCTAAAATTTTCTAATCATCCATGGTTTAATTGAAAAACACCCTCTCTTTCAGTATGTGACATTGCCTGAATTGCCAGCTGTTTTGGTATTCAAAGATGGAACTTACTTTGTATATGATGGTACGTAAAAACTATATATCACCTTCAGACAAAATACTGAAAGCAGGTAAAAGAAACCAAACCCAGAACATGTGGGATTCTTTGAAGGTCATGTTAGGAGTGGTGGGAAATTCTCAAATTTCATGGTAAGTAGCAGTTTTCAAGGAATGGCGAAATACTGAACAGAAATGTAGGTGTTTAATGCCGCTATGCATTTTTTTATGGAACAAAAATATGATCTATTAAAACAATTTTTTCCATGATGTCACAAAAAATATGTAAAAGAAACAATTCTAAATTATTTTGTGCTGAGTGACCACCTTGAAAATTCTTATTTCCAATTATTTTGTTAAAATTCTCGTCTTATACTAACAGAGTTATAGTAAAAATTAATTAATAAGTTATACATATTGAGTATGAGAGACTGACTGACATTATTGGTAGAAATTGAACACTTGAGTTTTTTCCTCTATTAAAAAAAAAAAAAAAATACAGTTCATACTAATGTTCATATTGAGTACTGTAAAAATTTGGAAATAATTGATTCACCATCCTTTCTCTGAAAGAAGATAAGTTTCCCAAATGATAGGTGTGTACAAAACCAAAACTTAGTTTAGACTTCCCAGGGTTTACGTAGCAGAGTGTTCCAGTTATTGTCAGTGTACTCTTCTTTTAGATAAACTTTCAAAACATACAAATATTGCTAATGGAAGAATGGAAGAGACTAATCAGATTTTCCCTTTTCAAAGGGGTTTAAAGGGGTTTTAATTTTAAATCTCTCAAACCTTCTTTTGCACCTTTTTTCTCCAAGCTAGGGTTTTTTTTTTCTTTTTTTTTTTTTTCTTTTCCTCCTTCCAGCTTATTGGCACCTTTTACAGCCTTTATTTCAGGCTTATTTTTGTCTATAGAATAATATAATGCTTTGGCAGATGCTAAAACATTTTTCTAATTAAATGAGAACTTTTTTTCCTTCAAGAAAACAAATATTTTTGTAAGAGATCATGGTTGTCTTTTAATGTCTACTTCAAGGAAAACGAAAATTAATCTTTTTTAAAATTTTCTTTAATTTTGGATTTTTTTCTCTYCTGACTTGAGCAGTATCTTTATTTCATTTGATGTCTTGAATTCAGTAATTATATTTATGTTTTCTTTGAAACATATTTGAAAGTCATCCTGAAAAGAAGCATTGATATGAACAGCGTCTCACATGTCTTTCCTTTCATTCTCTCTCCCAATATCAATGAAAAAAACTTACTTAGCCACCCTGCCAAGACCTATTCATCCTTTTTGTCTGCTCTGGTCTTCAACTGGTTTTCGTTTTTTGCACCACTCTACGTTCTGGTTTAGGCTCTAGTCATGTCTTGCCAGTTGCTTTCAGATTTCTCACTTTTAAGTGAGAACATTTACTTAGCTCGCTTAATTATACTTACCCTGCCTGATATTTAAAGGAGAACGTAAAACACTCTTCCACCCCTTTCCTTTCTGAAGTAAAATCTTTCTAGTCTTTCAGAAAGTCTAGTGAGAAGTAAAAGGTTTAGCCAAATGCATTTCAATGCTGTCTTTATTTAGTGTGTCACAAACTTGTAAGGGAAAAGAATGCAAGTCTAAATTTAACTTGGAGGTTGTTTGCTGCAGTCTTAGGTCATTGTAACAATGTTCTGAACCTCAAGTTCACTGTGGACAACAGTTAGGCCTGAAACAAGGTTATTTAAGATATTTGTTTACATATGTATGTGTCTAAGTGGGATATGCACATGTTTTTCCAGTTTACTTGTAATTAAGAGAGAATTAGGTTCTTTTCAGGTTGTAACAACTAGTAGTTGAAATCAGTCTTCAGTGCAATTGATTCTGAATGATATGTGCCAGTTTTTGTTCATTTGGATTCACATTCATGTTGATGCATTTACTTTTCTTTATTTCTTCTTGCTCTTTTTAAGAGTTTTCACCAGTATTGCTTTCTGTATTTTTGCATCTCCTCACGCTTTCTTTAAACAGAGGAACTGTTCCTTTCTGCACTGGGTTACAGTATTATATTTACCCATGACTTGGGTAATTATCAAACCAGCTATAGCTCAACTGCTATAATGCTGCTATAATATACTTTTAATTTAACAAATTAAAATATTATTAGAGAATTCTAAACTTGTAGAGAAATGCATTCATGTGATTAAGTCTAACAACGACGAAAGATAAAGTTGAAAAAAGCATTTCCTTTTAAAGTACTGGAAGTACCCTCGAAAGTGAGTTTTCTGTTTACTTGCTTTTAAATACAAAATGTGTGTTTGATCTTCAGCATTTTTTTTTTAATTTATTTATTTTTAGAGTATGAAGATGGTGATTTGACATCCTGGATAAACAGAGAAAGATTTCAAGGATATCTTAATGTAGATGGCTTTACGTTGTATGAACTTGGAGATACGGGTGAGAAGCTGCTGCCATTGAATTCATTCACATCCTTTAAACGCCAACCAAGATTAACAATCATTTAAAAACTTGTTTTTAAAAGTAATTAACCTTGTAAGGTTGGTAGTGTCAAACACACGTTTGAAGTGGATGGGACTGTTTTTATTGATTTGGTGGCATCACCAAAGCCTGCAGTAGTCCTTTCTTTGCAGCATACAACTTCGTCTAGTCCTGTAACAGTCGCAAAAAATGAGTGATGCTTCAAATACAAAGCTTTTGCTTCCTTAAAGTCAAGAATTTTTACAAAGAATTTTATTATTATTTTTAGGGATTTTTAAAAGGGGCTTAGATATGTCTAATGATTTCAGATACCTTTAGAATGGATATGGTGAAGAAAGGAGAAGTGAAACCCTTGCTTTAGCTTTTCTCTAATAACCTTTTCCAAGTACAGTGAAAACTTCACAGCTGAGTGATGTGTGGCAAGTGGTCTGTGCCACATCTGAGGTGTACATTCACCAAAGTAACAGGTGACTTAAAAGATGCCAAAGTATTGAGTCTTCCAGAGTTTTCCATCTTAAAATATACCTTCCATTTAGAAAGAAAGATGCCCAAATATTTAAATGTTTCGGTCAATGTAACATGAACTTCTTTCAGGTATTAAGGATTATGAAATGCATTATCTTAAATTTTTGTAAAAATATTTGTGTAAATGTATTATACCTACCTTTTTATAGGATATTTACAGAAGTGTTGTTCTTTAAATGTAGCTGTTCTCTTGCCATTTCATTTTTTTCTCAATTTTGAATTACAAGAAAAAAAGGAAGTAATAACTTCAGAAATATAATGGGGGATATTACCATTTCACCCAGTACCTGGAATTCATTTTTTTTCCCTCTTAATCTAAAGAAGTAGTTGGAAAACAAATTTCATGTTATTTGGAAAAATATTGCGTATTTTGGGGTTCTTTGTTAAATCTGTGTGCAAGGTCTTTGAAAAGTTGCTCTGACTAACCAAGCTTTAGCAATGAATGAACTAAGTAAGAAGCTGCCTTTCTGATTCAGTGAGTTCTAGCGTCTGTCACTAAGTTCTTAAATCTTCTTTCTGTAAGGATACTACTCCCAAGTTTTTAAGAATATTGAACAAAAATAGACATTAAGGCAGTGTGGTTGGATCACCTTGAACCTTGGAATTATAAAATATTAAGTGATATTGATGTTATACAACATATAATAGTTTATATAAAACTTATAGTAGTTTCTCATAACATCGTATTTATGATGTGCAAATATGGCTCTTGAATATCTTTGTATATATAAACTATGTATTTGTCCATACTTTTCTTCTTTAGCTTCTTTCATTTTTAACTTCTTTCTTCGGTGACTGTCATGTAATGCTAAAGATGTTACGTTAAACAATATCTTAATATATCTTAAACAGTAGAAGCAAATTGGAATTTGGTCAGCTGAAAGAGGTTGTTTGACATCCAGGTTTTTAATACTTGAAACTAATTCCTGCTAGATCTTATAGGTCAGAAGTATTTTTCTTAAGGGGAATGCGTGTGTTTTTAATTTTTATTTTTTTTGTAATAGTTTAACATATTTCATTCCTTACTTTAGGAAAACTTGTGGCTATTGCAGTCATTGATGATAAAAACTCTTCAGTGGAACATACCAGGTACAAAAATGAGTATTGGTGACACTGTGAGAAAAGGGTGCTGGTACGGCAAAAAACATTGTTGGCTTATAGAATTTTGGAAATTTCCTGAAACTTTTCAACTATTCAGGAATAAGTTAAACGAAAGATTTCAACTTGTGAATGATCTTCAAATTATTACTTTACTGAACTTACTCACTTTACGGCTATTTTGAAGTCCCTGCAAGTTTTCAGTGAGAGTTTGATTGGAATTTCTYATGTCACTTATGAGATCACAGGAGGAAATAAAAAATAAGCATTTTTGATCTTTGGGACAGTAGTTGAAATAACGTTTTTTAAAAGCTAATATGTTACCTTTTTAGTACAGAAAAGAGTACTTGAGTTCACACAGCTGAGATAATAAAAATTTTGTTTAAGTCTGTTTCATCTCAGTTGTATTAAAATGAATTTGGTGATGCTTAACTGTTASCTGTAGAACCTTTACTCAGAGAGGTTTTATTTAGCTGGGTCAGAATTTACTACAGCARTTGGGAGGCACAGTACTGTCCCAACTCCTTTTCTGATTACATACATCAATCAGGTAAAGACATGTTGTTCAAATTCCATGTTATATTGTTGTTGTTGTTTTTTTTTATTCAAGAGCACAATGCTCTATCTTTAGAAAGAAATAGGTGGATCGAGGAAGCCTATCTATCTTTTTCTCACATTTTAACTACATAGYGTCTCAATCCTGAGAAATCAAGCAAGGTGAACAAGGTGTTTTGTTAGTGGAATTAGAAAAATTGCTGATGAGAAGTTAGTCCTTATTACAAAAATCTAAATGTAATCTAAATTTTGATGGAATATACCTTACATACCAGTGCATCTTTTTTTCTTCTCCAGACTAAAATCTATTATTCAGGAAGTTGCTAGAGATTATCGGGATCATTTTCACAGGTATGTTTATGTGGTGCCACAGCATCTTCATCAATGCTGAGCTTTAGCATTGGCATTTCTACAACAGCAGTCACTTTGACATAACAAGACATAATATTATTTTTATTAATATGCTAATCTTAATATTCATAAGAGAAGTTCCTCAGTCTTGTTTTGGAAGGCTGGTCAGTTTTTCAAATTATATTATGCATTTAGTGTGTGCTGTCTTCGCTTAAAAAAAATATTTGAGGAACTTTTGATACTGAAACTCAGTATTCTTTTTTTTGTTTCATAATTATKCTTTTCATGATAATGCTTTTCGCTCTGTCTCTACTAGGGATTTCCAGTTTGGCCATATGGATGGAAATGATTACATTAATAGCTTACTAATGGAGTAAGTAAATTCTTATTTGAGTATTATTTCTTTTCCTGTACTTGTCACTAACTATATTTAATTAGAAAGAGCCTCCTGAAGAAATTCTGCTTTTCATGGTTTTAAAAGATTGTTGTGCTTGAAAGTCAGTATAATGTAATGGTTGTTTGCTAACCTAAAGCTATGTAGTCTAATGTTAGAAGTTTGGCTTGCCATTAGTGCTGATAAAGCTAGTCTTTGAAATTTGTTTTGTTTAAAAAAATATGTATATAATGTATCTCAGGCCTGCTTACAAGCAATTGAGGAAAATAGAAATTGCTTCAGTTTGTAACAAAATAAACATTTTTGTTATTAGTATTTTTTTTATCCGTTTATGGATATAGAATATAAAGCCATGCTCTATTCTTATTGAGAGGTGCTGGAGGCTGGTGCTCATTGCAAGTGGCTGTTCCCACATTACTTGCCTGATATCAGGAAAGCGGCCAAACAGCAAAGTACAGTGATTTCCAGAGGTTTTTTAATAAGAGATTTCTATAAGAACAGAGATAGGTATCARTTAGTATTTTCATACATGATTTTGGAGAGGAGTGCATGAATGATTGAACAGACACTTCACCACGTGTCTTAATCTTTAAAATGTGCAGAATTATACTTCTGCAGAGAAGCATAAGATACATAGATGGCATTATCTGCCCTTGATGCATAAAAAATAGTAAATTTTGGAAATACTTATTCAAAAAAAATCTGAAACCACAAGAGACCATCYGGCCCATGGAGAGAATGCAGGTGGATGAGCAGAGGCCGTGGTCTGGAGCAGCGTGAGCGCCTGCCTGGCTCCTGAGTCCGGAGGGCTCCATGGAGGCCCCATCCATGTATCGGTGCCGCCCCTGCCGTTCRGTATCAGAACACAAGGAATTTGCAAGCAGCGGCATTACACAGAGCTGAACAGTGTGACTGAGCTCATGATGAGCTGTCAAAATTGGGGCTCTCCTGCCTTCACTGCTGCCTGTTTTTTGTARGCTCTTGCAGTTAACGTGGCTCTGTGGAGATGTTGGGGCATGTTTATCTGGCAGAAATGTTGCCCTTTGTTTGGGAGAGTAGGGGARTTGCTTTGCTTATCTAGCAGAAAACCAACTGTCAGCTGTCTTCAAATGTATTCTACCAGTGTACAAAGAAAGCGGACAGAAGGATGGCCTTCCTAGAAGGAAGGAAAAGAAGGGGAAGAAGCTGAAACTGGCATTGATAGTGGTAGTGGTCTGACAGCAGCTACTGCAGCTTTTCAACTTGTTTGATTAATTTCACTCTCCAAAATGCCCGATCTTATAATTTGAAACATATGGGAATCGTTTAAACTATTCACAGGCTTCAGGCTTATTTTATAAAGAAAATATATGTATTTGCAGTATGAGTGGAAATAGGCAAAATAAGTGATATATGCAGTAATACCGGTAGCCCTTCTTTAGGTTACTTGAATAGTCCTGAGTAAAACTCTTATTGTCAGTGCTTCGGTTTTCCACTGGATGGCAGCAACTAGAAACAAGTAAAACAGCCTCTTGAAAAACTGCCTGTTGCCGAGTGTGTGTGAGCATGCGAGTGTGTGCATGTTTGAAGTATAGTGAATACACAAGAGAATAGACTCGGTTTCTTCTCCCAGAGCACAAACGCCTGGCCAGGTTTGACTCCTGGTTATGTTTGTCCCTAATAGGTAGAGAAAATTTTTAATGCAACTTTTMTCTAGACATTTATAAATATATAAATATATCTCCTTGAAAGGATGAAGGTACTGTGTTTCTGTAGTTGGTTCTACTTTCTTTTGACATGCACCATAATTTCAACTTGAGACTTAGAAGTTGGTCTCCACAAATTTTCTAAATCTTCTAAAAGTTTCATTATTTCTTCCGGGGAAACTAAATAGCTTGAGAAATATGAACATCTACATTTTGGGAATTTATTTTTAAAAATCTCAAATGTATGAGGAAAAAACTAGAGGCATTTCTGTAGCTTTAAGAAAAATAGAATCTTGATTAATTACTAAAAATATTTTAATAAAATAATTGATTATGGGCTCTGGTGCCACAGTTATGGTTAAAGTCATCAATATTAGGTATATAAAGTATGTTTGAACATGTTGTTATTAGACAAGAGTGCAAATTAGAAAATTGAATGAAGAAGGGACTCCTAATGACTAAATACGTTATTGATAGAACCTTAGAAAATYGGCAAAGGGAGCAGAAGACTTTTAAAATGTTTTTTAGGTCTTGTTTGTCAACCAGTATACTCATGCAGTATTAGATTTATCTAAATAGGTTCCACTTTGAAGTTGGTTCATCTTTGAGCCATATATTGGACTAGTTTATCTCAAGGGTCATTTCCAACTTAAATTTTTGGTTTAGGTGTGACCCTACACAATATTTATATTTGTGAACTTCAGCTGCTGAATAGTAGATTAAAAATTACCAGTACCTCTTGTGCTGCATCTAAAAGGAATGTGGTGAAAGTTTGGTTCATGTGCCTTTCTTTTTGTTTTGAAAGGTAGAGGTTAATTGATAATGCCGATCAATTGGACTATGGCTGTATGTAATTGAATTATAGTTTTCTTTTAGTGCCCTAAAGCTCTTCGTAAGTTTCTATTTCAAATAAGCAGTTACTATCTGAGATGTTTTAGTAACTGCCAAAGAGCAAGGTACCTGATTTGTGCTTATTATAGGTTTCTAAAATACAAGAAGCTTCGGTAACTTCACAAACAGAAATGTGAAGGAAAACATATTAATGAAAAGCATGCTTGTGACTTTAAGGTGGGTCTCTTTTCGCTTTCCTACTGTCACAGCTGCTTTTTTGGGAGCACATATGAAGAGAAGGTGACTGGATGCACTTCTAAACTGTGCAGGGAACATTTGAATTGCAATGTGTTGTGCAGTATTTCTGTAAATATCTAACACTTGTTTTATATTTTCAGTGACTTGACAATCCCCACTATTGTGGTGTTGAATACCTCCAATCAGCAATATTTTTTACCAGATAGGCAAATTGAGAACACAGAAGACATGGTTCAGTTTATCAACAGTATCTTGGATGGTACTGCTGAAGTAAGTCTCCAGTGTGACGTGGAATATATTGGCTGGTGTTTATATATTTGTTGGTGTATATTGAAGTTGGGGAAAAGTAATTTGGTAACCCTAAACGGTTGTGCGCTGTGTGTTACCTTTCCATCTCTCCATGATGATGATGCCAGTAAATGTTGTGATTCCTGAGGGATATCTTTGCTCACTGCTCTGATTTCATTACCTGTGACAAAAAGTAGCTCTGTTTCTCTGCCTGTAGCTTACTCTTAGCTGGTAAGTTGAGAGGGTTTTTATTCCTTTTCTTGATCTGCTTTAAATGTAGTCATTTAAAATTGCCATTTAATTTCTTGCTTGAGTAACTCCACTGTTTCTTTTAACTCTGCTTTCTTTTGGGAAGTGAATTAATAAATTCAGTACCGTGATGAGTGGTAGATTTGAATTCAAAAACAAATACTTACATTGCATGTTTCAGACAGTTATGAGGTTACTGTCTGTCTTCTCTAACCCTGAAAAATGAACAGTCTCTTGTTACAAGACAACAAATCTTGTAAATCCATCTGAATTGAAATCCATCTTTAACCTTGGCAAAACCAACTCCTGTTCATTCTGCCCTCAGGGTACATGGATGGAGCGCTGTGTGGATGAGTCAGTGCTGTGGATCAGAAGTTTCCTTCCTACACAGAGGGGCAAGAGGGATTTGCAAATAAGGGAGACAGTGCTAAGAAATACCACCCCCCAGGAACTTTTAGGGGAAGGAATGCCCCTCAGATGCCTGCTCTGAGCCCCAGACTGCTCCATGCTGAACGTTTAAGGTTCCTTAAGGCTGTGAACCTTAGCTGAAGCACAGGTGCTGTTCCAGCAGCAGCTTTAGGTGCTCCRGTAGCAATAAGTAATACTCTGAATTGCTTCAGTCATATGGGATACATAATCTGAAAAATATATGTAGTACAGCATAATATAAATTGATCTACTTATGGTTCATGGCTTTACTGGCCATACTTGGAGCCATAAGACCAGGGGTGTTTCTGCAAACTCATCTGCATGTAAATATGAAGCACCAAGTAAAATTGATTTCTGTCTGCTTTCTCATGTTGAGAAATTCTGTTTTTTTTGTGATGCTTTGCATCACACTTTGTCATAATATTGTTCATCCCTTTGTACTTTTTATACTTTTTATTTACAGTATTTCAGCTAGAATGATTAAAGGTCTATCTAGATGGACCTCTCTGTCTATCTTAACTTTGTCACATTAGTGACATCACTTCCTTTTTTTTTTTGCATTTAAGCTAAACAGAGCCATATATATATATATACACTTATATATATATATATTTAAATATTTATATATTATATATATATATATATATAAAAATTAAAAAAAAATAAAAAAAGACATTACTTTGGCTATGTTCAGGCCTAAGAAATCATGTCGCTATGGCAGTTTATTCCAGGTAAAGGAGAAGGGAATACAGACTTCCTGAATCATAGTAGAATTTTGGGGGAGTTTAACCCCACTTGATAGCCCTTCCTTGATAGAGAATAAGAACACCAAGGTGAATTATCCCAAACTGTTGTGATTTGTGGTAGCTTTCTTCAGGTCACTCTCATTTTTATGAATCTGGGCTGGGGTGTTTGGGTCAGGATCAAGCCTTGCTCAGTTGGCTCCTCCAAAGTGTAGCTTTTCAGTCCATTTGTTCCCGAAGCAAAGACAAAGTGAAGACTGTGTCTGTTCAACAGATGAATTGCTTTTGGATAACCRTAGTATTTTGAAGGTTTATATAAATTAGGAGATACGGTAGGCATAGGCTGTAGCTGTCCAACTCTAGCTTTGTTTACTACACCTACATGCCCTTTTTTTATACAGTTCTTAAAGTTTCCCTAACGGCTGCAATCATTTTAAAATAGATAGCCAGCAGCAGAAGGAAAAGTTGGAGATCTCTTCAAGATTGTAGAATTCTTMCAGCCAGACGCAGGGTGATTCCTGTTAGTGTTTTTCTATGGTAAGAGGTAGTAAGTGGCAGTTCATTGTTGACATGAGCTGCTTTAAGCAGGTTTGAGAGGATATTTCAGGTGGCTATTGAAATGCTTGTCCTTGCTTGAGAAGTTCGAGTGCCTGGGCATGAGATGCAAGAATAATTACTTTTCATTTCCTTCTAAGGGGACTTAAGATTGCAGGGTCTGAAGAATGAACTTTTGGCATCATAACTGAAAAGTGTCAACAGTTTTGACATGGTTCCATTTGAAATTGCAGGCACAGGGTGGTGATGGATTTCTGCAGCGAATCAAGAGAATAATCTATGACGCCAAGTCCACTGTAGTTGTAAGTTTTCTGTTTGTTCTCTTTCGTTTAAGATTCAAGTCAAGTTGCTAGTCAAGTTGCAGACTATTTCAGATGATTTAGATGCACTTTCATACTAGTTTTTGACTTCTGTTTTCTGCTTTAATACATACCTATATATGTAAACATACAAGTATAGTTTTAAACCTAAAGAACCTGCCTTGATTAAAACTTTAAATAATCTTTTCTAATGTGATAAATGTTCAATATATGTATAGTCAAAACCACAGTTGGTCTCTTACTCTTTTTTACTCCTTTACTGTTTTCTAATTTGCCATACACTTTAAGTAATAGAAGAGGAAGAATTCAATATTTTTTCCCTCACACTTTTGGTGTCTTTCAGCTGAAACTCATAGCATTTCTGCTGTCTGTGAAATGTTGCAGTTTCGGTCCACTGAGTGCATAAGTGAATTACTTAGAGGTTTTTATCATCATACTTAAACTATAAGTCTGTGCTTAACAGAATTTTATTTGGAAGACCTAAATCAGTTTCTTCACTGGTGCTAGACAACCCAAAAACTTCTTCAGTGAGTTTAAGTTGAAATCTGCATGTTTCTATATACGTCGCTTCCAAACTTTTGTGGAAGTGCTGCGTTAAGGCATCAGTTTCTAGAAACCAAAAACCTATTTTGTCTGAATAAAATCTGTGGCAGTGGCTTTGCCTTATAATGATTCAAGCCTAACAAATTTTAATGTGCACTGATAAGAACTGAAATTATTATTACTTTAATGCTCTTAAAASAGCTTCTCAAAGTTATGGCACATTTTCAGTCAGTGTGGAATTCACAGTGTAACACTTCAGTATCCGAAGTTTTGAGACTTCTATAAACTTAAAATGGGAATGATGGAATGATTCCTATTCCTTGAATAAGTAGTAGAACATTTGTGTGTTCACCAGAAGGGTTTTTTGACTTCAGATTTTTGTTCCGACAGTCTGTGTTCAAGAGTTCACCTCTCCTGGGATGTTTTCTCTTTGGGCTGCCCCTGGGGGTCATCAGTATCATGTGCTATGGCATCTGCACAGCGGATACAGAGGGAGGCTTAGATGAAAGTGAGTCCCCTAAAAAGGAACATGGTGATCGGGAGCTCACAGATGAAGGCAGTGAGGAAGAACAAGAAGAAAAGAAGGAAAAATATACAGAACTTTCAGATGGAGAGCCTAAACAGAAGACCATATTGGAAAAGAAAAAAGACTAAATTGTCTAGGAAAAAGAAAATTCTCTAGAATTTCCAAATAGACTTATTTATTGAAGGTCATTTATTAATGATCTTCACGAATGAGGACCTTTTTATCTGAATTACGTAGTTTTGACTTGCATGTATTCAGCTCTTTTCAGATATTGACAGGGAGAAAAAAGAAATTAAAAGTTATCTTAATTGTGTTTAACAGACTATCAAAGAGTAAACCAAGGGAATTTGCAGGTACGACTGCTATTTTTAGAAGATTTTTTTTTTTGAATTGTACATTAGAACAGTGAAATAAAGATGGTATTACTGACTTCAGTGTATGTGATGAACTACTAATAATATAGCCTTGCTAAACATTTGTTTATATAAAAACTAAGGATGGAATCCAAGAATGAATAAGATATCTGCAAAGTCTTTCAGAGACTGATAGCTACAGACAGCTTAGAGTTTTCCAAAGTCACATATTTTTGTGGTTGCACATTATTCTGGAAAAAGATACTTCTTTTTTTTTAATTTTATATAAAGTTAAGAGTAAATTGTTATATTTGGAGGACTGTTTTATTATGTAATAATATATTTGGAGGACGRTTTTATCATGTAATAATATATTTACAGGTGGTTAAGAATGTCTACTTGATAGTGGTTGTGGGAGTTATATATTAAAATCCTTRAAGTCCTTATTAGACATTTATGCAGCTAAAAGTTATTGCAAAGCTACGTTACAAGCCTCTCTTTAAAACAGGATTTCCTGTTAAATTCCTTTCTGTGAGTAATTATGCACATTTTAATGCAAATGGTCTTATCTTAAAATTTTCAGAATCCACAGTGCAGTTTGATGGAAGACTTAAACATTTAAGCATAAGTCTAATGACAAATTGTTTTGAATGGTGTAAACCTGTTTACAATGTTAAATCCAGATTGTTACATATCTTTGAGGTTGTTGATGTTGATGATTTGGAGACTGTTACCTCTTCTGGCCAAGAGCTAATAGAGCATAACTTCAACATCCATCGAAGGAGGGGTATTTGTCAGTGTCCTGCATTGTCACTGCCCATTCAGTCAGGAAAGTCGTTTTTAACACAGCCCTGGCTCTGTGCAAAGGACGGGCTCCTCTCCAGGGTTAAAGTCTCCCAGGACTTTAAGGCTGTAGGTGCAGCCCCTGTGTAGCCTCGAGGGCTCTAAGGCAGCSGTTGGTGCTGGTGCCATAGGAGAGTGGGGGGGATATGGAGGGTGGGATGGGGGAGCCTTTGTTATTCCTTCTTTTATCCATGGAGATTTTCCTGTTGTTTTATAGCATASAAATTTTCATGTCGTCTGTGTATGGCAGCGTGATGGCGGACCAAGTTATGTGATGTAGCACAGAAGTTAAAGACGTTAGAGATGACTGTTGGTGAATTTAAATAAGGCATCTGCCAACGTGAAAGGTAGCACCATGTGAGTCCTAACCCRGGGAAATGTAGCTTTTGTTTTTAGGAAAGGCTAGAAAATTCTGCTTTTGCAGTACGGTAARAACTAGCTTTGTGTTGCAGTGTGCAGTACAATAAGTAGGTTCCTCACTTGAGAAATACTTGATATCGAATAGTGTTGATGAAATCTGAGGAGACAGGAAATTATTTTTCAGAAAAACTCAATCTTTGAGTTAGACTCTAACTTTTTTTTCCTTTGGGGAAGAGAGGAAAGTAGATGTTGAATGATGTTGAATAGCAGCTGTCTGATGTGGCTTTCCTTCCTTTTTGCTTTCTCCTTTTTCCTTCTGTGATTTGCCTTTTTAATTTTTTTTTGTCTCCTTTTTTTTTATGTTTAGTAAATCTGCCTTGTTGGTTGTAAATAATAACTTGATTTTTGTTGTTTTTTAAAACTTTTTTCTAATCTGTAGAATACTTTGAGGTGCAGCCTTAGCAAACCTTTGAAGAGTGAGAAGCTTAAATGCGCTTAGGAAGTTCTTTKAACATTGTGTAGATGCTCTTGAGTTATGATTAGTCGACATGTAGCACTATTAAGGAAGTAAGATGTTGTTTATCTGTGATTTGTCTCTTTTAGTAAGATCTCAAGTATGGATTAGTTTTACATTTAATATTGAATCAACTAGAACCAGAAGTTTTTTTGTTTTTTKKTTTTTTTTTTTCTGTGAAACTAAAGCAGTAGCTGGAACACTGCAATTTGTTCTATCATGTTTAACTAAATTCTGAATTCTGCTGCACTGCAAAGAAATGTGTCAACTGCACACCTCCATTTTTGTACGCTTTTTGTTTATCTGTTTATTTTTAGTATAAAGTCAAAAGAGCCAAGTACGTTGCTAAGAAATCTTCTGTGGTATGGACCTGAAAATGATAAATGGTCAATCTGTGAGACACAGATCGCACTGGAATCTGCTGCAACTGTAATATTTAACTGATTCTTATGAGAAAAATGTCATGTCACTTCTGAATTTTAGTATCAATTCAATGCTATATGGTTTAAAATCAAGCTTTAAAAGTACTGACATTTTCACCAAATCTTTCTCTCTGCTGTGTTTATCAAGGAATAGGGCAGAAGAAAGTCATCGAAGTCCTGTACTGGGTCAAAAAAGTGGTAAAAGCTAAGGGATTTGCTTTGGTTGTGCAAATAATTTGGAGTGCTATCTGAGGGAATTATGGTGTTTTATTTTTTCTTGAATCTCTAAAGGTTTCTTTAAGCAACTTCACTGTAATAAATTGAGTTCATGAAATAATGCTTTTTTGGAGTCAAGTGTAAGCCTTTTTTCTATAATAAAAACATTAAAAAGAACTTCTTTTCATTGTTCAGTTTATTCTKTGTTGAGTTTAGATATAACCTATTTTGTAGGAGGCTGTATTTTCCTTATGAATGTAATTTAAAACAAGAATGACTCATTACAGAAATGTAGCTAATAACTTTTTAGTTCTTGTCTTTGATATATTGAAAATACTCTCAATATTCTTTAGGGAAATTAAATTAGTTAGCAGGTGTCCTAACACAATAAAAAAGAACAAATTTCTGAAACAAATGTAAAATACATTTTTCATCTCCTCAACATTCCCTCAAAATTCCTATAGAGGAACTAGGGGAATCTGAGGGTCCCTGTTTTGATGTTTTTAATTTCACTTCTTTCTGTAAGGGGRAAAAAAAACCCTTCATTTTGGGTGGTGTTAACTGTTGCGCGCGTGTAGCTTCTCACTGTTTCAGCATTTGCTCAGGATGTGTTAGCAGATACTGTCCACACAGTGGTGCTCGCTGCTAACAGTACAGAATGTTGGTACTGTACAGAAGTGCCTATTTTTTCATTAAAGGTTTAGATAAAACATTTTGCTTATTTCCTTCCCCCCACTCTTTTCTTTTCTCCTCTCCATCTAAACCTAATTCAACAAGTTCCTCTTCCACCAGTACGAAGAAAAAGTAGTTTAACTTGGAGGGGCTGGAGAATTTCTCCAGTGCCATCAAACACTCAAGTCAGGAAACAGGGTGTGAAACCAGGACGTGGTATCAAGCCCAAAGTCTTGATAAACCTGCGTGGCTCCGCAGACGTTTTAGGCTGTCGGAGCCTGCGGCAGAGGCCGGTTTCTCCTCTGGGAGTGTTGCAGCTTTCGGCCCTGCCGGCCTCCAMGCTGGATCTCGCAGGTTACCAGAGAGGGAAGCGCATCCAACTGTCAGGGTCACCATGGAGACACTCCCAACGAGCTTCCCTTGGAGCTTCCTGTTGAACTCTTTAATTTCCAAGGTTCTCCAGCCTGGTCTGTCTATTGAGTGTAGGCATTCCTGAAACCACGTTCGTTGCCTGCTTCTGAAGATGTTACCCGATCTTGCTTTATTGGTAGTTTCCTACATTTCAATTTACTGACATACAGAATCACTTTAGCAGGAGCTGTGAACTCGTTGCTGGCAAAATTGTTCCTGCAAAGAGTGCAATAACGTTTCCAGTTATTTAACAAGGATAAATGGTCTAAAACTATTTTCCTTATGAGGGACACTTTTGAATGGAACATTATTGCTTTGAACAGTAAAACCTGAAGAAATCCCTGGAAGAACTTCTGCCAAGTAGCAAGGACACCCTTAAGGAGATGAGTAATGACAGCAGGGTCTTGCCTTCTGGCTTGAGTCCCTGCAGGATCGGAGGAGAGAGGAAATTATTTACAGCGCTGACATAAGTGTATGATTTGACAGCTCATTTGTGGTGAAAACTCTGCGTTACTTGTCTGGTGTCTCCTTCTGTCACTTCTGTCGCTGTCCTTTACCCAGCTTGGGCACCTGGCAGCCCCCGTGGCTGCGGTGGTGACCGGACCAGCATGGTGGGCACGTGCGGGGCTCTGCTGGTGAGAGTCGTCATGAGCAGCGAGGCTGACACTGGAATAATGTCCAGGCAGGAGAAATGGGAAGGAAATGAATGCCATAGAGTTATCTCTGTTTTATGCTTTGATGTAATTGAGTTATGCTTAACAGATTGATTATCTGCAAAGCCACTAGGAGCCTTTGTAAGACATCTCTGTTTACTCAACAGCCTTTGGCTGCTAACGTCACCTCATGTAGGATGAGTAGCATTACTACCCAATCTCATACTTACAAATTATATTTTTTATATATTATTTTTAAATGTAAGCAGTTGCTCAGCAAAGGCAGTTACCGCAGACCACTTGCAAAAGTGTATTTTTAGTGTCCTACACTTGACTGAGGCGGGGAAAAAAACTATTAACTCTGTTTCATCATTGCTTGCTGCACCACTAATTTAAGGGGAAATTACAACCTTAGACTATGTTTAAATATCATGTCTGGCAAAGGTGGCAACTTGAAGTCCTAATGCTTTTCAGGAATTGGGAATCTAATTGGTAGTGTGGAATTTCTATCTGCACCTTAAATAATATCTAAGCTATAAATGTGTTCTTGATTAGACTGTAAGAACATAAAGTGAACAGCTTTAAATGAAACAAATACTTTGTGAGTGAATTAAAGCCTTAGATACTAAAGTCAAATTCATCTGTGTAACACCTTCTCTTTATCCTGTCCAAGTCAACAATTAGTCATTTTTGGCCTAGAACCAACTTTATTTTTTTTAACACTTTTTAATACTACACTAGACTTTTTTTTTTTTTTTTTTTTTTTTGAAGACGCTGACAGTACAGTCTAGGAAAAAAAATGAAATGGGAATTACGTGGTTTACGTGGTCACTGGCTGAATAGTTTTCTTTATTTCCTCATTGTTTTCTTAAAATATGTCTCTCAATCTTCTTGCCTTTACACATTAGACTTTACCTGCCACTTCTTGTAGGATCACTGGCTTTGTTCTCTTATAGGCTGTTGTTCACAGTTCAATGTTAAAAATAACTGGATTTTTCTAAAAGAGAAGTCTGTACTAAATATAACAAACTATTTTGAACCAGTAAAAATATTAGAGTTTGTATAAAACATTTTTGAAGATTATGCTTGTAAACAACATATATCTTACAGTACGAGTGTCTTCTCTCAAAGTACCAAACACTGTCACAAAAATGATCATTTGATAGAAAGGGAAGAATTGCAGAAGTTAAAGTTAAATCTTGAGATGGCAATACCATGGTGAATATTTTCCTACTCTTACTCTTCTACTCTTTAGAAATACCTGCTTTTAAAATTTGTGCAGAAGAAATGCATGTTTTCATTTTTCCTGGTTTACGTATGAAATTCTGAAATACTTCAGTTACATCTCCAATGGCACAAGTTACAAGAGATGATGCAGTATATTGCAGCGTTTGCTTTTTCAACTCCTCTCTGATCCTGGGAGATGTTTTATAAAGTGCAAAATATCAAGAGTCTTTCAAAGTGGACTGAAGGAGAAGTGCTTTCTACAAGGTAACAGAAACATCGCTCTGGGCCTCTGACATACAAGTCTACAACTGTTCAAAAAATACGCTGTGGAATGGATCTTTATGGAGCCGGGAGCTTCTGAAACAGTATTGTCAGGATTTCAAATAATTCCTAGGAAAATGAGAGCAAGTAATAGTAGCTGGGTTTTTTTGTTTGTTTGTTTGTTTTTTTAAGAGAAGATTTTAAGCGCAGATATAAATCTGGACCCGAACATAGTGTATTCGTATTTTTGTGCTTTGCATCATGTTTTTTGCTCTAATTTAAAAGCGGTTGCAAAGAGGAAAGCTGTCAGTTCATTCAAGTGAGACCATGCACTGTTTTAGTTTTCTGCTAACAGAAAACTAAATTCAAGTCTTAAGACAGGAGGATAATATTCTTTCAAGGGCCGTAGCTTTCTGTCAGCTTGATGGTGGGGAGATGGTGGCACAACAGTTGTCAGAAATGTAAGTGGTAAGACCCGCTGTACCTCCAGCTGCTCACGCAGCTTTGCCAAGGCTCCGATCATGTACAGAAAGCTAAGCAAATGTAATGCTGTCTAGTAGCTAGTGGAGAATAATTCTGTACCGCTTAATCCTAAGAAACAATTTGTAGGCCTTCTTTCACTTGTAAAAAGTGGTTGAGACAGGAGGAAGCTTTTCTTTGTGAAGAAATCCGTAGCTTTCATGTGCAGAAGATCTTAGCTAGGAATATGCAGCAAATCTCAGAGACATGAAGTTCTCAGTGAGGGCTAAAGTCATGATGATCTGAAGAAATTCCTTGTATTGAAACAGTGGGACTGGAAAGAGTTAAAATGGAAGTGTATAATGAAGTAARTTATGTTAGGATGTTTTGCACCCAGGTTAATAATAGAAAGTGAAAAGTTTCTGTAACAGYGTCAGTTTTGTTTTTATATTCCTTTTAGGAGAACTGTTGCAGTGCAGATCCTTGGTGTGAGCTGCTATGGTTGTCTCCAGACCAGTCTTTTTCTGCKTGGTTGCTATAGTCAGGAGCCTGAGTGCACAGCCTGGTGTGCAGCAGCATCAGCRGCCTCGGTCTCCAAAGGGTGCATAGCTACAGCTGCTTTAGAAAACAGTGCAAGTTCGCTGGGATGAACATGAGCTTTGACAGTGGCACTAGCAGGGATTTCGGGAGCCTCGGCTTTGACAGGGTGTTACTCAGGGTGGTTTCAAGGAGACTGCCAGGCTGAGGACACAGGGGAAAAAGGATCATGTTTGGGCACTGCGGGCGTGATGATGTGTCATAAAGAGAGGAAGGATATATGGGCCATGGAGGTGAGAAGATCTAAAGGCCTGTAGGGGTGTCTCTGCGCAGGCCCGTGCAAGCCAACCTGAAGCTAGGACAAGGGTGCTCTGTTTTAGGGACAGTGAGCTCATGATCACAGACACAGTCTGATCTGTCTTTGGGCAGACAACTTGCYGTGTCATGTTTAAATTAGTAGTGTAGAAATACCATAGAGTATTAAGTTCAGTTTCTGGCCGTCTTCGTTTGACGTGAAGTGCAGTTTTAGGCAATTTACTCGGGCCATAGTTTCATTATCCTCTAATGAGAGCGCTCGCTTAAGGAGTTTCTGTGCTCATGCCCTTCCAATTGGGTCCATGCAAACTGTTGGTAAAGCAGGATCATAACCGGGTAAACAAACTGATCCAGGTGAAAATAACTCTTTGAGTGGAACAGC